CCAATAGGTTGAGAGAAGCCATGAGTTGTGATATCTAGCAGCTCCTATTGAACTCCATGAATAATGTCTCACCTCCAGCAGAAACCCATAATAATTATTTATTTTAATCTTTGAGCTCTTTTTAAGTGGCCTAGATTTTTAAACTGATAAAGACCAAAACTGAAGTTTTCAGTTGTCTCGGAAGATACCAGGATAGTTTGAAAATCCCAATGTATGACTGGAAGTTAGCCAGACATTTTCAAATCAGAAATGAAGTGCCTATTTTCAGCAGTACTAGGAATGAACCATGCAGTGGAGACTCCCAGCAGTAGCAGTGAGCATCCTACCCCCAGCCCCTGTATTGAGCCAGGCAGTGCCTTTTTAGAATATAAGCTTTATAACTGAGATCAACAAGAATAACATCTGATAGAGAAAGTCAGACTAAATGACATGTTCCCTTCAAATCAGAGGAAAAATCCCAAGTTCTTTCCTTGCATGAGTTTAAATTGTTTAGGTACCTCTGCTGTCCACAGGTGCAGTAGTTGCTTTGACTGACTCATGTCTTTTTGTCTTTTTCTTTTTAGTGAGGAAGAGGAGACTTGCAGACCTGAATGGGCCTATTTTTCCCAAGTGCCGAAGCGGGGTGTAGCTTGTGGCTGTCCAGGCTGTGTGTAGCAGTTTGTGCTGTAGTGTGGAAATCAGAAGGCAAAGTGCCTGCACAAACTATTTGTGGTGCCTCAGTTCTATTGCATCATTATGCACTAAAGATTTAAATTAACTAGTGATTGTAGTTGAAGATATTATCAATCAAATATGACTAATGATGTTTTCTTTAGAATCAAAACCGTATCACTCCAGGCAAGTGGTCAGTTTTAAGCAGCCTCAGTTTAGTGTACATGGCAGGGCAAAAGTGACTGTTAATTAACTCATGACAATTTCTCAAAGTATTTCCTGTGTTGTGCTTCAAAGATATTTAGGATGTGCTTGCATGAGTAGAAAAAAATTACTACTCCCCCACACATGTTGTAGAAGTATTAAAAAAATACTTTATTTTTTCAAGTTGATCTCAAATTATAGAGAAACGGGCATTTTTGACAAGCGTTGCTAGTATCCTAAAATACCCTTTGAATTCATGAACTTGTGCACTGCAATTAATTACCAACATTGGCTGAATTTATTATTTCAAACATGATTTCAAAAGCATCTCTATCTTTTTCATAAAATAATCCATGCCTTTTTACCCTGCTGAAAACAAAAGGAACATAAGGCCACGAATGTTTAAACAAGAGAGTCACAAAAACAGAGCATTAGTATCTTCCTTTTCTAACTATGGTTAAGCAAAACTGTTGCTGTAAGAGACGGGGAATGAAACCCTGCCTCTGTTGAAGCTGATGTGAGAATTTGCCTTGCTCCCTATGCCCGTTTGATAATGCCAAATGTGTGCACCTGGTGCTTCTGCTCTGAACATAATGGAGTCCTCACTCCCAGTTCTGGTTTTTGGCTGGGCAACCACTTCCCTAGCAGTTAACCTTAAAGGTGATGTTTCTTGCTAACATCCAAACATCTGAACAGATGAGACTCTGAACACTATGCCCTATTAAAGCAGTTAATACTTGAAAATAGCATGCATGTGAACCTGTATGATTCAGAGCACAATTAGAAAAGGGCTTTTGTATAGCAATAAAATCTACTGTCTGATCTTTAAGGGAAGACGTTCCAGTAGATGTATATGGTCTCTGATCATGCATTTGGATCCATGCACGTGGACCATTACGTCCATGCAGACACCCACTGACTCTGGTAAGTCCCTGTACAACCAGGAGTGTCTGCTCATGCAGAACTGTTGCAGGATTGGGGCCTTAATCTGTATCATAAAGAACACATCCTGACAGCCTGTTTCACTTGGTAACAAGCCTTCTGTATGCCTGGGCTAACAGCAGAGCTCTACAGTCCTTGTATTATCTATTCCAGTGAAACTTCCACCCGTTTCAATGGATTTTTTGTCGAGTATGGAGCATAGGGTTTAGCTCTGGTTCACAATGTTGCTGAATATCCTATTTTCAACCAAACTAGGAACTAAGAGTATGTTTGTTGCTCCTCAAATCAAAATAAATGTACTGTCAGTCACTTCAGGCTTCAACAGTTTCTTTTGTAAACTAATGTGCAAAAGACTAAAGAAAATAATAAAGAGGCATTAACGTAGGAGACAGAACCAAAATGACTGGCATTTAGTCTACCCCCCGCTACCAGATATGGAACACTGCCTTGAAGACTTGAGCATAGGTTTTTTCTCAAAATAAGAATTAAAATAGCCTTTTTAAAAGTGATAACCTTGTCCTTTTCCATGCCAGAGCAGTATCTGAACTAATTTTACCTTTGAAACATGCTTCAGGAGACTCCAGACTGATCTGGAAAAGACAGGCTCACAAAGCAGTGCCATTGACTCTACTGGAAAAAACAAGGGTGGGGTGCACCTCCTAACTGGTAAAGGAGATGCAGTCAAGGCAAAATCATGGTGAAATGCATCAGGTTATATACAAACAAAGCAGAAGAACAGTAGGGAATGAAGGTGAAGAGGCCAAACTTTTGTTCTAGTTGCTCTGGAGAAAAGGGTGAATCAAGACAGTGTCCCCCAGTACCTGGCAGGGTCCCAACTCTCCTGGCTGGAAACACTGAGATGCATGCAGCGGTATTATATAGAGCTATTGTAGTTTCCCTGAAGAGTTGCTGCATCTGTCCTTTGAATTGATTAAACTGTGATTGTATGTGTAAGGGAGCTCTCAGAGTGCTTTTTTTTGTCCATTTAATAAATGGGCAAGAGACCAGGACAAAGGGGTTGCTCACATGGGAGGATCTCTCAGTCACTTGCTTTTCACAAGGCCTCTCTTCAGCCACTGGGTCTCTGACCCACCCAATTCCGACCCACCCAATTCCAGAACAAACCAGGCCTTTCTCCTCTCCTGCTCTCTCCCGCAATTAATACTAAAACAATTGAGCCTTCTACTCCCCCTGCCTTGTACAGAGACCGGCCCTAAGCACCTCACGCCTCCTATGCAGATCCTTCACATTAATCAACCCCATTAACTGACCACTCACAGCATGTACCTTGCTACACTGCGGCCAAGAATTTTGACCTACATCTCATGGAGGTTTCTGGGCAGCAGGGGGCAGGATGGTATTGGGGTTTTAAGGTAGTAGCTCCAGTACTGGAAACTCTTGTCCGCTCCTTGTTAGCAGGTATCGGGCTGGGAATTAGCCATATCTCTGCTGTCATTTGTCCTCCAAGGGGTTAAAGGTTTTCTAGGCACCAACATAGAATCTTTGTACAACACTTCACAAAATAAATACTTTGGAAGTGCTAAGTCTTCTTTTTCATCCTTCCTATTTTAAAAGTTCAGCCCTAAAATAAAATTTACATGGTTTTACATTTAGCATTGAGAAGGGAATGCAGAAATGCCTCGGGTAGGATTCCAATACTTCCAGCAAGCTGAGATTTTTTTTTGTACTTGATGGATCTTTTTAAAAGGACACCTGAAACTACACTTGTGGTTTTGAATTCCCAAACCTGGCTACTGGCAGTGCTCTAAACGAGGACTGCAGAGTGATTGAGAGGGGTCTGCTACAAACGTGCCACTCTCTAGCACAGTAAGAAAAGGTTTGACAATATAACTGATGTCATATGAGCGTGGGGGATAGCAGATGAGGAATGGGGGGAGGGAGGGGATCTGCTCAAAAAACCTCTGGGAGCCCTTTCGATCATTTCATGGACACTGAACGAGATACCAAGCAATTCCTTTTAAAATACGAATTCTGAGGAAGGCTCCCAAAGTAGAAACCAAGACGTTTCAAAGACGTGCTTCACAAAAAGCAAACCACACCGAGTAGAACCCTGGAGCACTTAGTCATAGTAACAACATTATGAATAAAATGACAGGCCTTAATTACAACTAGTGCCCAATCCTTCAGCTATCAGTTCCTATGCTCCTACCAGAGTGTTGTAAGGTGAAACAGTTAGCCCCTATTTGGAAATAAACCTGCTGTATCTGACAACAGGTCACTGCAGGAACCTGAGAAAAAAATATTTTATTTTTAAAAACAGTTGTTATAAAAAGCCAGTATTCGACCTTACCACTTAGTACAGAAAGTGGGGAGAAGTTTCAAAGAACATTTTCTTCATTAGTGCTCAATCTGCCAAAATATTAATAAAAACTGTTGAATTCCATTTTGGCAGATGCTTTAACAACCCTGGGTTGAGAGTCATTTCTGGGAGACTGGAAACAATCACATTTCAAATCTATGGCACTGGGTCCTTTCAAGGTTGTATGCTGTTTCTTCTAACAGTCATTAGTGAGAGCTGAGAGTCAAGCTAACATCCCATAGCCACTGCTGAGCTACTTAGTCAATGCCTGATAACTGCAGAAGCACTAGCTTGAGTTTGGAGAATAGAACAGAGCTGCTTATGTTCATGTGGAAAAATGGCCTTAACCACAGGCAGCCCACAGTCCCAGGAATAAATAAGTTGTTGTTTCCATCTGTCTTCGATTTCTTGCCAACACCAGTATACATGGTATGTGGGGAGGGAAAGGGACACACAGACATGCCTCGATTACGGGAAGGAGAATGTAGACCTTGCCTGCTCCTTTACATTTTTCGTTTTCTCTGGTTGTAGGCAACCATTCATGGGATGTATCACATTGTAGGAGGCAGAAAAACGACTTTTTTTTTTTTTTTTTTGAAGTTAAGAGTGGTATAGCACCATTGTTTGATATGATACTTTGCTAATTTATACTCAGGCAGGGGAGGGTATTATTGGTGCAACCTAGCCCAAGTATAGATTAGATTAGGGCTGAGATCTTTGGTGCCACCTGAGGCATCTGGATGCCCAATTGTGATTAAAATGACTGAAAATGGATATCTGACCCTAGGAGGTGCAGCACCTATGTGGAAGTGTAAACACCAACTACACTACAAAGGGAAACTCCACTGCACCAGAGATGCTGTTAGATGTATTCTACTGGTACCTGCTGCCGTCGGTCTGTACATTCACATTCTTCCTTGAGCACTGGGCTAGAAGACCGTGAAGCCAGCTGAAGCCCTTTCTCTTGACAAACAGAACAACAAGCTGTGAAGCCTTTCTCTCGACAGCTCAAGCATGTCAAGACAAGCTGCCGGCAGTGCTGGCTGGAGCAAAGTCTGTACTGGTCCCACAATGCCCCGCAGTACCTGCATGCTGGAGAGAAAAGAAGTATGCTTACAGGTCACGCTGCTTACAAGGCTGATCTGCACTGGATGGTGAGAAGGAGTAGGAAGGGACCTAAGCCTCTGAGTACAGAAGTACTAGGACTGAATAAGAATGTCCTGCTGAGGGGTAGAACTGGGCTGCAAGGCCTCCTCTCAGTGTTTCCTCTTCATCTCCTGCATTCCCATCATGCCTCAGTATGAGGTCTAGCCCATCCCAGGGAAATCTGGATTTTCTATTTAAAAATATTGGGTTGACCTGCCCCCCTGGGACGGCCTGTGCCCAGGGTCAGCACAGAGTAATCCTGCTGACTCAGGGCCAGTTACCCATATGAACTGGTAGGACTGTGAGAACAAGTTATGTATGTACTCTTAGCTAGCAAACTGCAAAGGACAGCATAAGCAGAGATAGCAGGGGCAGTCCATAAATAGCCCAGACCTTCAGTGTGCTCTCAACTCCTTGTAGTGCTCTGGCAAGAAAAGGAGTCCCTGTAAAATTCAGAGCAGGATTTTTCCTTTAATAAGCAGCTTTCTACACAATCTTGCTGCACAGTGGGGAGCTAACCCTGCCCCACAACATTTCCCCTTTGGTTCTTTTCCAGAAATGGCCATCATTTCTCTGAAGGGAAAAGGAGTGGAGTGCCTCATTGCAATGGTGAAAGAATCATGCGGTGCCTCAGTTAGAAGGGCTGTGCTACACAAGGGCTTCATTCTAAGGAGATAATGGATTATAACAAGACTAAGGCAAGTAGTCTTTTTTGCCCACTTAGACAACGACTGTTGGCTTTGGCATGCCAGAAACATTATCTTGTGACCTGCTCTATCACTCCCAATTGCAGACATCCTCCTGTGGTAGGCCCCTGGCTCTGGTACCCTCTTGCAGATGACCTGGCCTTACTTGGCACTCCAACGTTACCCTGTATTTGCCTGCCAAGGCTTGTTCTTAACTTGTAACAATTTTGGGAGGCTTAGGTGCCTTCCTACTCCTTCTCATCATTAAGCCACGTCTTATCTGGCCCAGTCAATAATAAGCTCAGTCTCTCTGCAGGGTTTCATTGCCTTCCCCAGTTCCAGGGCTTGTCAGCTTACTCCCAGGTCCAGGGCCTCCATCAGCCCATTCACATAAAACCAACAGGGTTCAGTGCCCTCAGTTGGCTGTCACAGGGCTAATGCCCCAGATCAACAGAACACACAGCGCCTTCACACTAGGTGCCCTCAGTTTTCTTCCTACTCCTGTACTAACCCTCCATGTGTCAGGGGAAAATAGTCCTTAACAAAAATGTGCCAGCTCGCTAGGGTGTCCTTCTGCAAGCTACCCCCCACCCCACCCACACACACATTATAAGCCCAGAAGGCCTAAACAATGTAGCATGTCTTTTTGCAGTCCTTCCCCAGGGACTCCTTCCTCTCCCGCTGCCTCTCCTCAGGAACTGGGCTTATGTGGCTTCAAGGCTCCAGCCCTTCTGGCCCACACTCTCCCTCCTAATGGGGCACAGAGATTCTCCATTACATAGTTAGCAGGCTTGCTGCTCTGCAGTCTGTAAGTTCTCACTGCTGCTTGCACGTTCATCTCAGTAACAGAGGAGTCAGGGGCCCCTTTTCCCCCTCATAGATTTCATAGACATCAGGGCTGGAAGGGACCTCGGAAGATCATCGAGCCCAGCCCCCCGCCCAAAGGGCAGGAAGTCAGCTGGGGTCATAGGATCCCAGCAAGATAAGCATCCAGTTTCATCTTGAAGGTGTTCAATGAAGGCGCTTGAACCACCTCCGGTGGCAGGCTGTTCCAGACCTTGGGGGCTCGGACAGTAAAGAAATTCTTCCTTATGTCCAGCCTGAAACGATCTTGAAGTAGTTTGTGACCATTCGACCTCGTCATCCCTTGGGGCACTCTGGTGAACAAACGTTCCCCCAGATGCTGGTGGTCACCCCTGATAAACTTGTAGGTGGCCATCAGATCACCCCTGAGCCTGCGCTTTTTCAGGCTAAAGAGCCCCAGGGCTCTCAGCCTGTCATCATAGGGTCTGTTTCCCTGACCTCTGATCATGCGCGTGGCTCTTCTCTGGACTCTCTCAAGCTTCTCCACATCCTTTTTGAATTGTGGAGCCCAAAACTGGACACAGTACTCCAGCTGCGGCCTCACTAAGGCCGAGTACAGGGGGAGAATGACGTCCCGGGATTTGCTTGAGAGACGTCCCGGGATTTGCTTGAGACGTCCCGGGATTTGCTTGAGATCATCGAGTCTGACCCCCTGCATAGGCAGG